GAAGTCAGTCACTAAAGAGCATATGTTGATCAATATCGAAAGGGGATTTTGTGGATATTATAGTAATTTTAATAGTTGAGATTATGATTCAATTGAAGCTAGACCATCATGGAAAACTTGAAAGCACTGGATGGCTGTTTCGTCCCATTTTGGGGCTCCTCAGCAGTGCGCATCTACGATCCCGTGGATTGGTTGAAGTTAGAAATCAATACCATTGGATGCCGGCTCAGTGGTCTATCGATTAAGTGCTCTGACATGAGACTGGTAGATCTTGGGTTCCAATGTCGCGATGCAGGATTGTGAATGCACACTACTGAAGAGTCCCACAATAGGACGAAACCGTTATCCAGTGCTTCCAAGTTTCCCATGGTGGTCTAACTTCAATTGGCTGATGATCTCAACTCTATGAAATTACTAAAATCTCCACAAAACGCCTACTGATAATATTAAAATAGATCAGAGGGGGTTTTGTGGAGAATTTAGTATTTTCACAGTTGAAATCATGAGTCAATTGAAGCTAGACCACCATGGGAAACCTGGAAGCACTGAATGGCGGTTTCGTCTTATTGTGGAACTCTTCAGCAGTGCGCATCCACGAACCCGCTCTTACGAGCGAGATTCGAACCCAGGACCTACCAGTCTCGAACTGAAGCCCTTAACCGATAGACCACTGAGTTGGCATCCAACAGTGTTAATGTCTAACTTAAAATAAACAAAATTTTATATTTTCAATCAAAAACTATCCTATAAAGTATTGATATTGTGACTTATCTGTAACATTGAATGTTTACAGCATATATATCAGCACATAAATATTAACCACATGTATACAATAGTATCCATATCTGATTGAAAACATTAATAAACTAATACTTGTGACTGACAAAACGGTACTAAACAGATCATTCATTATTTAGAATAGAAAAACCTTGACAGTATTGATTGAATTATGTAAATGATAATGGATTTAATGAATGTAGTTTGTTTGGAAAAAAAAACAACTTTGACTAGATGTATGAAATATGAATGTCAATATGTTCTGATTATAGACTACCGGATCGGATATAATAAACTTTTCAACTCATTAAGCTTATCCCCTTGCTCGTAGATCATGAATTGTCCAAGTTTCAGAAGATGATAAACATCAATTAGTACTAATTCATGTACTCAGCATTCAATTACATTACATGTGTCAGGGTCAATGATTCTATCTAGCTGCCTGAATTGAAACAAGCAAAGTGGGATTTAAACAAGAAAGCTAGTGATTGAAAGCCGGATCCCTTAACCACTGAGCTATTTCCATACTGTTTTTTTTTTAGTAGAAGTTTAAATACATAGACCATACACTGACGTTTGTTTCATAATTTTTGGGAATGTCTGTCAAATATTTAATCCTTAGTACTGACTGAATTTTATTAATAAAGTAGAAATGTGATCATCAAACGACTTAGATCACTAAACTGTCGGTTCCAAAAAATACCTCATTTACTCGGAAGTAACAGATATATCAAAGTTTGCAATGAAATGTTACAGTTTTCCCCCAAATTGCTACGTTTATTCATTGGGAACTCATAGAGAAAGTTTCAGTCCGAAAACAATCTGACGATGTTAATAGAATGTTCTGACCTAATGCCTAATTTTATCAAATTTCAACCACTTTTTATTTGATAAGATTTAAGGTCACAACATGGTAATTGACTGATACAAACAATCAGTTTTGGTTAAACAGTGAATTGTAAATAATAATATGTTTCATAATAAACTATTAGGGAAAATCCCATCAGTTGAAGATGACGGAATCAATGGAAGTTATCTCTGTAAATTGATCCTAACGGGTGTAGTTTAGAATACTTTAGATAAAAAATTTATCACTACTAGTAAATCCCCGACCGTTGCTGATACCTTGACGTGGTGGTGGGGCTTGCCTATCGTGATGATCCAATCGAGCTATGCTGGCTGGAACAATCGTTCCTCAAGGTCCTACCATGCCAGACTGGTCGGTTGAAGAGCGGTGAGACTAAAAGCAGCAATCCCAAGGTCCGAAGGCGAAGTCGTACTGCTGACTGTACAGAGGTGTGAAAGCAGTAAGGTGTTTCCTTCAGACAACCAGCATCACAGCGATGCTGCCTTCCTACAAGGAGGGGTGGGGTTAGAAAAGGTCGACCCTAAAAATGCACACCTCACCTTATCCCACGGATTTCCGTCTCCGGCGGTAAGGACTTTTGAAGAACGGAGCTAACACGTCAAAAATCCCCCACAAAAAGGCCGTGCGTGACCGGCCTCAAGCAGATGTCCCTTGGGCACTGCGGTCACGCTCCGAAGTCGTTAAGACCAACACTAATCCAACTTCTTTTTCAGGTCCCTCAAGAAATACCCTTCCACGGTGTGGGCAGCCGGGAAGTGATACTAGCCCTCATACCCTTAACTGACTGAGTAAATCCTTTCTCCAGTTTATTTCATTTCAATTCAATATAGACTGTTTATCCTTTTTGAAAATCTGTGAGTTTCATTCTTGCGTCCAAATGTTTAACCTATAGACCGCTGGGTCGACATCCAATGGTGTTATTGTTTAATTCTAGTTAATCCATGATCATACGCAACCGTTCATCCATTATTTGTTGATAACTATCTCAATCCAACAATAATTGTACTCCATTGGTTATGACCGTCCAAGGCTTTCAGGTTTTCAGTGGTAATTTAGCTTAGATTAACTCATAAATCAAACTATCCAAATTTATCAAAGGAACTAATTGCTTTAAATTTATTAGGATATTAATATTGATAATAAATTTCTTTACAGTTGAATGACTTCCAAAAAACACTATTAGAATTTTAATGTTATAAGTAGTACAGATACTTGATGTAACAATTTTTGGCTTTTATTTAAGTTCAGATTTATGTAGTAAGGACAGAAAACCTATAGCCTATGCTATTTCTTTTCTAGCGTGCCTCCTCAAAATTAGTTATACAACTATTCTACGTCAACTCTGCTTGGAACCCTTCTGTGGTTACTGCCGGTCCCAAACCCGGATAAAGGAGGTGGGTTGGGCATGGAGTTAGTGACCCCATCCCCTGGAAAACTAACTCTCTAAAAAATCGCTGACCAGAAGAAATAATTCGGACTATTTAAACTCTGCCCTGGAAGTGAGAATGCCCTCATTTAGAAGAGTTATAACACCTCATGATGAAGGCCGAATTCCTTCAGTAGCCACGAGGCCAATACCCATTCTAACAAACAGAGCTACACTTTTTGTGGTTACATGGAACGTCCGGACAATGTGGGAGACCGGTAGAGTCTTCCACAGTCTCCTCTTCTCAGAAATGAGGAAATACAACCTGGGGGTGCTTATGATCAGTGAAACACATTGGATGCAGGTTGAACAACAACAAATATCTTCAAGAGAGCTTCAACTATACTCCGGCTATGAAGAAGAAAATGCCCCACATGCACAAGGAGTGGCATGGATGCTATCCAAACAAGCACAAAATGCACTTATAGGATGGGTATCTTATGAAACCAGGATCATCAAATCCTTATTCAAAACATAAAAAGAGGGCATTACAATGGACGTCATCCAATGCTATGCACCTACCAGCGAATACTATGAAGACGTTAAAGTTCAATCCTACGACAGGTTGCACTTAATCAAAGTGAGGTGCCTAACAAAGGACCTGACCATTCTAATGTAAAATTTAAATGCCAATGTTGGAATGAACAACACTGGATACGAATACGTCATGGGACTACATGAACTGGGAGAAAAGAATGAAAACGGTGAGAGAATTGCGAACCTATATGTCTTCAACAAACTGGTAATGGGTGGCACTATATTCCCACAAAAACGCATACACAAAGCCACATGGACGTCGCCGGATCAAACTTCACAGGACCAAATCGACAATATCTGTATCAATATTAACTTCAGAAGAACGGTGGAGGACGTGAGGACCAGGAAAGGAGCTGATATAGCATCAGATCATCACTCTAGAAGCCCTGGATAACGGGAGGGACAATATCACAAAAGTTTAATACGGTCTTTCTTCGAGATACTGACAGACTCAAGAAATTCAAGATAGCCCTCAGCAATAGGTTACAGGCCTTTCATGATCTACTCAATGAAGAGGGAACTACCATAGAGAACATCTGAGATGGGATCAAGCAGGCAATCGCTTCAACATGTCAGCGGTTCTGGGCTATAAGAAGCACCAACTCAAGGAATGGATCACTGTCGATACACTGGATAAGATTCAAGAAAGGAAGAACAAGAAGGCTGGAATCAATACTAGCCGAACAAGAACAGAGAAAGCCAAGGCACAGCTCGAATACACAGAAGTAAACAAGCAAGTGAAGAGGAGCATCTGAACCGATAAACGTAAATATTTGGAAGATTAAGCAATGACAGCGGAAAAGGCTGCGAGAGAGGGAATCATGACACAACAAAGAAACTCGCTGGAAATTACCGTAAACCAGAACGAACAGTGAGAAGCAAGGAAGAAAAATTAATTATCCACATTGAAGAACAGTGAAACAGGTGGGTAGAACACATCAAAGAACTCTTGAATTTGCCAGCTTCACTGAACCCACTTAACATCGAAGTAGCACCTACGAACCTCCCAATCGATGTTGACCCACCAACAATTGAAGTGATCAGCTTGTCCATCAGACAAATCAAGAGCGGCAAAGCAGCGGGGCCAGACAACACTCCAACAGAGGCACTGAAAGCAGATGTAGCAGCAACTGTCAAGATACTCCACATTCTCTTCAGTAAGATTTACGATAAAGAACAAGTACCGACAGACTGAAAAGAAGGACTTCTGAGCGAAATACAAAAAAAGGCGATCTTGGCAAGTGTGATAACTACGGAGGCATCACTCTTCTCTCATGAATATATTGAATACGACAAATATTCATGATCAAATAAAATATAATTATACTAGTACAATTATGGTAGAATAATGACAATGATTAAAACAACAATAGCAACAAAACAATCACTTACATTAAAAACATTCTTCAAACTAGGTCCTCTATTTATACTTCGTTCATCAATAGTATTTGGACTAGCCACATTGACAAGTTTACACAACAATATCCCATTTTTACAACGTTGATATAATTGACCATCAACTGATGGATCAACTGGTAGAATACCATCTTGTAATTCAACATCATGACCCAAACGTTTATTGATCCATAATGTAAAACCTCTTTCTTCTGCTTTACTAACTGAATGTCTAGTATCAGTATCATTTTTGCCAACAGTAAATGACTAAAACAAAAAAAATTAATAAATAGAATTCAATGAATAATGATTGTACCCCAATATAGACAGTTTTGTGTTCTTTATTCATTAAATAAAAGACATAATATTGAAGGTTTTTACTTACTTACTTACGCCTGTTACCCCTCGTGGAGGAGCATAGGCCACTCACCAGCATTCTTCATCCAACTCTGGATGGAGAAGGTTCTGTTAAAGTCGATTATCCTGGATTAACATATCCAATAATAGATTTAAAGTTTACTAGGTCTAATGAATTCAAGATTCATATGACAGTTTCACTTTAAGATCTTTTTAAATATTCGGTAATCTCAGCTGACTGATTGAAATGATTCAAAATATTTTAATATCTCAATGACAAGTATTACTTCAGTACAGTGATGTGAACTAACTTGGTTTGATGAAAGAAACTGAAAGAGAAGTTTTCCGACTAGATCGACTTCATCTAGTTTAAAAGACTTAGTCCTTGTGTTGTGGATGCTACTGACGTCAACAGATATAAGTAGTATGATGCCTGGCGACAAAACGTTAAGAAGATCGAACAGTTGAGTATGAGAACAGAGAGTGTTTATATAGAAATGAAGAAACAACAAAGTCCAAGATAATGGATGGACATTTTACAAATGATATATATATATATATACTGTATAGTTCTCATATTGGAAATAGTTAAGATTGTATACAGATTTCATTGGATATGACGATTATCTTTCAGCCAATATATGATTATCACCTTATTGTTGTTATCAGTATCAGTCATTTAATTTCATGACATTGATTGAATTTAGGAAGAAGTATAACTGTATCGACAATTCAAATAAACTTATCCAACTAGTTCATCGAATCCTCTTGTACACAAACTTTAGAAGGTTAAACTATAATTTATGATGGGCCTTTGAGTAATGTTAAAATAACCTTGAAATATCTATTTACTACGGTTGAATGTGGGTTATATATCAGTATGAGGAATTACGATGAAAATTTACAGATGAACTGTGTTCTAGTCCCAGAGTGAACAACAACTCTGAGATGCAGATACGTCCGGCTGATCAGTCCCAAATAGGACGAAACGCGTGTCCTGGATTTCACTGCTAGCCACTATTCATCTCCGCTTACAATGCTTGTGAATTAAGTCTATATCTAGGCAATATGCACAGTATGCACATATGCCAATAAGAAACTGACCAATTGCAGTCTTAAACATTAATGGGAAGTTTCAAACAAGTAATAATAAGTGAAATTAAATTTAATGTCTTCATCATGAACTGATATCAGCTATAATGCCAAAAAAGAGTATTAAGCCAAATGAGTGAATGAATTTCATTGCCAAAATTCAAGATCTTTCTTAAATCTGATTGGTTCGTCTATAAATTACTAGTATTGTGGTGTGGTCTACTTATATCCATATAAGTAGTATATGGTGTGGGTCAGACATAGAATGTATTTTGGCAGAAGACCGATGACGAAAGAACTGGAATGAAGCGCAATCGTCTGGAAAATGCATGAGCAATGGAATTAGAGAAGAAACAGTGAAGATTGAAACAATTGGTTGTTAATTTGCAAATTGACTGTTCATTGTTTGGTAATCAGAATTTATTGAGATAGTCTGTAATCTTTGCTTAAATACATTCGATTGTCCCCAACCAGTGTTCTGTTCACTACATTTGGTGTCGCTGCCAACCAGGAGGAGGAAGGGTGCTGTTCTGCGGACGCCGCTGCGGGTCTGGAGTTGAAGTGTTAGTTGGGGCAGTCCGGTGCGGAGAGTTGGCGTCGAGTGGAGTGTTCTGGCGGGGCGGCGTTGGCTGTAGCGGGTGCTGTCGTTGGAGAGGAGCAGTGGGACGTGCGGCTGCTGGGCGGACATCGGATGTAGATGGCTCAGCAGGCCGGTGGAGTACGGGTGTTGAACGTCCCAGGTGCCGGGTGGATGCGGATGTTGGTGCCCCGGCAGGTCGACGGAGCTATGGAGGTCAGCGCGCCGCAGACTCGACATTCTGACGGAGAGTTTGGCACAGACTGCAGTGAAAGAAGATAGTGGCGTGGCGAGCAGAACCACCGCATGAACGAATGCTTCAAAGGGGGGACGAGTGTGGTGTGGTCTACTTATATCCATATAAGTAGTATATGGTGTGGGTCAGACATAGAATGTATTTTGGCAGAAGACCGATGACGAAAGAACTGGAATGAAGCGCAATCGTCTGGGAAATGCATGAGCAATGGAATTAGAGAAGAAACAGTGAAGATTGAAACAATTGGTTATTAATTTGCAAATTGACTGTTCATTGTTTGGTAATCAGAATTTATTGAGATAGTCTGTAATCTTTGCTTAAATACATTCGATTGTCCCCAACCAGTGTTCTGTTCACTACAGTATCACTGTTTAGAAGTTTCCAAGATTACATGAACGTTTGTGCTTACCATTATATTTAAGAAGCTAACCATGAAATCAAAATTATAATAAATGGTTATGTTCATTAATAAATCTTGATATTGATAAGTTTACATAGAACTACTAACAATTAATAATGTGGTATGGGTTGTTTTTATCTATACAAGTAGTATATAACCATATTCCGGGTATTAAATGTATTTCAGTAGAAGATGGATAATGAAAGAACAGAAACGAAATTCAGTTGATATGAAAACGTATGAACAATAATAATAATCGGAAACGATGAACTGATATCTATAGAAGGAATGGTCAAGATTGAGATAACCATAGATTTATGGCTAATTATAACAATATATATCCTTTTATCAGTGAAATAATCTCAGCTATTGTAGCCGCCTAATTTCTGTTATTTTATATAGTTGAGATCATAAGTTAATTGAAGCTAGACTACCATAGAAAACGTGAAAGCACTGGACGACCGTTTCGTCCTATTGTTGAACTTCTCATCAGTGCGTATCCACGATCCCGTTTCGCGAGATTAAAACTCAGGACCTATCAGTCTCGCGCCAGAGCACTTAAACAACAGACCACTGATCCGGCCGGCATTCAACCAATCCATGAAATTGAGCGACCATCTTTCATTGCACTGAGATAGATTTCTGTTAAATTATTCATTCAAATGTTCAAGAATATTCGTACAAATTTATGGCTTCATATTGTTATAAAGAAAAAGATTTGGCTGCCTGTTTGAACATCTGGGATACCTGTTCCTGTCATCCAGATATTTCAACAAGTTATCTAATTTTTTTAAATACATCAATATTGCTATTAATCACATAATCTATCAGGTACGTTTTTGAAAAGTATCCAATCTTTCTCTGTACAAGTTTGAAAAGAACACAACCAGTGACATTGTGGTTACTGGCAAATATTCAGAGTAAAGAATGTACATTATTTAAATGTCAAGTGACTGAACGCATAACTTCTAACTGATGATCAATCAATATCTATCGTCAGGATAGACCACGAAGTACGAAAACAAAAAACTTGTTGAAGTTCTTTATGCAGAGAATAATTAATGTTGTTCATAGTCACCCTCTATGTCAAATGATACCGATATATATAGATTGACTATCATAATAAACCACTTAGTTTTCATTCAACATAACGATAGTGTTTATTTATAATGAATCCGAGTTATATGAAATCTGACATAAATTACTAGTTGTAAAGTTTTTGTTTGAAACACTGTCAACTAAAAATAAATTCACTTGGTATATCTAGCTGACGAGCCCCAAATAGGACGAAACGAGCATTCTAGATTCCACTGCTAACCACTAACCATCTTCGTCTATACTATCGACTATTCATCAGAATTCTTGATTACCATATAAATCACTAAATGGATTCGTTAAACCTAAGTTAGAATATAATGTGATTTCTATATTAAAAACGATCATGTAAGTAAGTTAACCGGTAGATTATATTGTTTAGCTATGTTCTTCAAAAGTGAATAAAAACAGATAATGTGGGTTCGATCCTTGAACTTTCAACCGACATTTATCTGTCACATTCTGTTCATGGTTATTTTAAAAAAGTACTTTCATGTAACTCATCAATAACATGAATGAAATGCAAGATCATAACAATGTAGAATATGTCAATAGAACATACCTTCACATCTTCAGCATGTTTTAATAATAAAGCTTTGCTAATAGCTTTTGTTGTATCTTTTAAATCTTTTGCTTTTTTATATAATTCATGAAATTCATCTGGATTAAGCCAATTTCTTTGTTGTCCAACTAAATCTCTTATTTCATGACCAGCAACAGAGACACCAACAACTTCTAATGCAGTTTTTATATCATCCCATGCAATATTATTTGATTCACGTAATGATTTATATTTATGAAATAAATCATCCCATTGTTCTTGAGTTAATTGATTGATAGACATGATTTGAATATCAATGGGTCAGATCAAAAGGATTGGATCAATAAGGGTTGAATTAAAAGGGTTGGATCAAAGTGTTGGATCGAAGGATTGAATCAAAAGGGTTGGATCAAAGTGTTGGATCAGAAGGATTGAATCAAAAGGGTTGGATAAAAGTGTTGGATCGAAGGATTGAATCAAAAGGGTTGGATCAAAGTGTTGGATCGAAGGATTGAATCAAAAGGGTTGGATCAAAGTGTTGGATCGAAGGATTGAATCAAAAGGGTTGGATCAAAGTGTTGGATCGAAGGATTGAATCAAAAGGGTTGGATCAAAGTGTTGGATCGAAGGATTGAATCAAAAGGGTTGGATCAAAGTGTTGGATCGAAAGGTTGAATCAAAAGGGTTGAATATATATATATATATATAGAGAGAGAGAGAGAGATGAATTGAATGGTATGGTATGTGTAATTCAATAATTTGTGAATTTCACTTGTCAACTACACTTTATATACAAAAAAAATTTAATTCCAAAAAAAAAAAACGAACCAAAACTCATTAGATTTTTTTTCTTGGTTAATGATCATATGATGTAGAATGTTAGTGGGCGGCCTATGCTTGCTCCTCCACGAGGGGTAACAGGCGTAGGTAAGTAAGTAAGTATGATAATAATGATCAAGGTTATGTTTGTAACCTTTATTTAGTTACTAAGGTATATCATAATTAAATATAAGAGTATGAAATGAGTAAGTATGTCTGTTTATCAGTATGATAGTAATGAATGTTTACTTAACACATTTACATATCTATATTACTAACAATCATATATTGTTATTACATTTCTAATGGTCTCTATGTGTGTGTGTATGTATGTGTATTCAGTTATATTATGCTTAAGATATAATAGTTACCGGAATACAGTTTACTTGATTGGCAATGATTCGGTTTAAACAAGTTAGTTAGCTAAATCAACAAAGTTTAAGTAATATTGACTTGATATACAGATATAATGAGAGTTAACACATCGGGTTTCAATGTTCATATGGTTCCATTACTTTCTTACTTACACCTGGTACCACTCATGGAGGAGCATAGGCTGCTCACCAGCATTATTCAGACAACCCTGTTCTGGACTATTCTGGGTTCTCATCTAGGTTATTCATCATTATCATGACCGCTGTCAGTTTTCAACGCAGTGTTTCCTTTGATCTTTCTCTTATCCATTGATTGGCAATGATTCTGTTTAAACAAGTCAGTTAGCTAAATCAACAAAGTTTATTTACTGTGACAAAATGTATTATAAGTGAATAAATTCTAAGGGGAAATCATAACGATACGATAGAGGAGTAACAGAAAAATCATTCAGTCATAAGTAGTGCCAATAACTTTGACTTGATATACAGATACGATAAAAGTTGACGCATCGGGTTTCAACTTTCACATGCCTCCATTACTTCTTTACTTACACCAGTTACCTTTCACGGAGCAGCATAGGCCATGCACCAGCATTCTCCATACAAACCTGTTTTAGGCTATCATTTCCAGTTCTTATTCATTATTACCATGTCCGTTTTCAATTCTCAACTCAGTGTTTCCTTTGGTCTTTCCCTGATCCAATTCCCTACAGCATCCCATGTTAGCGATTGTCACATGGTACAGTTGCATGATTTCTCAAGTATTTGTCATTATCCACTTATAACGTCTATTCATAATTTCCTCCTCAGTTGCAACCTGATTGGTTATCTTACACAGTAGACTGATACTGATGTTATGCCATCAACTGACATTCAATATCTTATTCAGAGTACTGTTTATAAATACTTTTACATTATTGATGATGGATTTAGTAGTTCTCGACGTGTTTCACCTCCATATAGTAGAACTGTTCTGATGTTCATATTGAAGATTGAAACTTTGATATTGGTTGACTGTTGTTTTTTGGTTATATATGTTGTTCTCCAACAGTATGAGTGTGATTTTTACTTCGTCGATCCTCGCCTTTACGTCTGCATTCGATCCTCCTTGTTTATCGATAATGATGTAGGCCAGGTACGTGAACGTTCCCACATCTCTCACAAGTTTCCTGTGTTGTAATTAAGGATCTTGGTTTCCTCCTTGTGCATGTTGAGGTCTACTGGTGGTGATACTGCTGCTATACTATTTGTCTTGACCTGAATTTGTTGGTGTGTATGGGATAGAAGAGTCAGTTCAGCTGTGAAATCCAAATCGTCTATTTGTATCCAACCTGTCCATAATATTCCTTGTTTCCTCTCAGATGTATATGGCTTCATGCTCATGTATATTTCGGTAGTTTGTTTTATCAAATTTTCATAATGTTCAGCAATGCGAATTAACCAGTCACGAAACATACAGCAATTATTTCAGTCACATTCATATTGTAATAACTTAACTAGAGAACCATTGAAAACAAGGGAGCACTGGATAGCTGCATGTCCTAATATGAGGCTCCTCATAGTCGACGGTCCCATCACCATTTGGACCAAGAGCATTACGCTCTTGGACGAAAGTGTTGTTATTATATCCATGGTTTGGTATAAAGTGGTCAACTTTCCTAACATCAGTCACTTACTGATATTTCATGGTTATCATTGACAGCTATAAATAATACTTGTTTTACTCTAAACATCTTAAACTTCACTAGTCGTAGTTTCTTATTTAAACTTCAGAGTGTGTTTTGACAAATTCATCATTTTAAAGGAAAACTGACTTTCTCTAAGAAACTATTTGAATTGCAGGTGGCAATCATTCAGGCTAACAAGTTTATCTCTGTCTGTAATCCCCTACAGGCATCAGAACTGAATAAATCGGCATACATTTTACTTTCATATTGATCGGCAACCTATGCTCCATTGCGAGTCATAGGGGTAAGTAATTAAACACATTAAAAACGGGGAATATTTATACATTAAAATGGTTAATCTTCAATTTCTTAAGATAATCGGACAGTCATTTAACAAAACAGTTACTATGATACTCTATTTATATTCCATAACTTTGATTTCATATTAATTACTTGAGAAAGATTAGATTAGAGTAATGATTGAAAACCCTGGAGTTATTATTTTTACATTGTTGACATTTAATATGTTTCATATATTCGTAATTGAAATTATGAGTCAATTGAAGCTAGAACAATATGAAAAACCTGGAAGCACTGGATGGCTCTTTCGTTCTATTATGGGACTCCTCAGCAGTGAGCATCCAAGATTCTGCCTAGCAAGATTCGAACCCAGGATCTACCAGTTTCATATACTCGATATTAGATGTTTTCAATACTTGTATGATCAGAATATTTTGCATAGCATACCATTTACCTACATGATATCATGATAACACATAAATTGGTTCATTAACATATCATGTGCTATCATGAAACTATTTAATAATAAAAAGAATGATAACTGCATTAACTGATTACTCAGTTCTGTATATGTGTGCTAGCACAAACATGTAAATATGTAAATATGTAGTGAGATGCTGCGATACAATCGTTTGTGCAACGTATAAGATTCATATGAAATCATGGACTTGATCACCTCAGTTACAAGTCAGTGTTGTCAGAATGACATAATTATTTGGGATCTATTCCATAGGGTTCGGATTGTTTTGGTTCAGAAACCTTGATTATTCTAATCGATGTCTTACTGAAACACCACAATTGTTTTGTGTATTTTTCAATTATTCTTAAGTGGATTTATTATTCTATTATAAAGGTGCAAAATAGTTAATCAAAAGTATAATACACAGTTGCTACATACGGTTTCGGTTTGGAAAGGACAAGAGGCTTGATGGTCTGTGTTAGTCCTGGCAATGATGGTCTCTCAGCTGATAATACTCAGTTTATGGGTTAGTATGAATTCCAGGCTATACGTATACCTTAAAATAGTAAAAATTACAGTTAAAATTACAGTTGACTCATATCTTGTGTATATAACTTACTTGTATTGTAGTCATCAACTTACGTCAATTTCAAAAATGAATAGATTCTACTACCATGAAACAGTTAAACCACAATTTCGGTATATTATTATTATGAGAGATCAATAGAGGTCATAAAGTCTAAAGATCGTAGGTTCATACTACTAACAAGTCCTAACTAGGATGAAATAGTTATCCAGTCCACCTTTAGTTTAGATCGAATATTTTGCTACCGTCGATCAACTTTTCAAATTTACCAATATCTTCGAATCCCGCGAGGCGGGATCAAGGATGCGCACTGCTGAGGAGTCCCACGATAAAACGAAAGTGCCGTCCAGTGCTTCTAGGTTTTCCCTGGTGGTCTAGCTTCAATTGACTCACCCTTTCAACTATGAAAATAAAATTCTACTTGCTAAACCTTGGGACTATTTCCTTGAATTTTACTAATGGAGAATCAAGAATGATTTCTGTTGATAAAAATTAAAAGATTTTTGAACCTCTTTTATGTTCAAACAAGTAAACATATTATCCAATTAAAACTTATGGAACTTATATGGAACTGAATATAGAGATTATGGAATCAACTGGAATGGAATAAAGTCCGTTGTACATGAGTTACAAGTGCTTGTGAAACCCTACCGTTGCTGCTACCTTGACGTGGTGATCGGGCTTGTCTAAAATGATGAACCATTCAACCTATACTGGCCGGAACAATCGTTCCTCAAGGTCCTACTGTGCCAGACAGGTCGGTTGAAGAGCGGTAAGACTAAAAGCAGCAAACCCAAGGTCCGAAGGCGAAGTCGTACTGCCGACTATACAAAGGTGTGACAGCAGTAGGGTGTTCCTTTCATACAACCAGCATAACAGCGACGCTGCCTTCCCACAGGGATGGGTGGGGTTAAAATGGCTCAAATTCATTTGCGATCGCGAAGATGCATACACTCTTCGTGTTCTCTGAAATTCTAATCTTCTGAATTCTTCATGTCTCTATCTTTTTTCTCTTTCCAAATTTATTTCACTGGATTATACTCCTTCAATAACGTCTCCAATACTAATCTTTCCGATTTCTACTGATACTCTAACTACTTCTATCACTGTAGGATTTGAATGGACAACTGCATCTCTGTGCTAATGTGGTATGGCAACTGGAACTGATGTACGTACGTACGAAGTTCTACATTGTGACTTACTAACTGACTGAGTGTTTGTGAAATACTCAATAAACATCTGTTGATTTTGAAGTTCGAAACAGCTTAAATCATATCATTTATGCTAATAGTCCCTGTTCCCATTGTTCAAAAAATCTTTTTAAGACCTCAGAAGTCATCCTGTATAAGTATCTTGTATCACGTTTTTCTTCATCCCAAATAGTTGTCTAGATGATTTCTCTGAAATCAGTCTATCAGTAATCGTCTGAATTGTATATCGGTAATAAGAATTCACAAAAGATTCCGCATATGTATTGTAGATCAATACACTGAACGTACAGTTGTCTTGGAGTTGTTTATTGCTTGAATTCCACGAGACTATTATTAATACCTTTGATCAACATCACTCCAATCCAATAGCCTACAAACCTCTATTTATGTATTATCATTTTTCTGTATTGCCTTTTTCAAATTTCGTAAAATCAATTGTACATTAAAACTGTTCTAGATTGTAGTGCCGTGCTTCGATCATAGTTCGCTTCGATAACCGTTATTAATACCAATCTTAACGGTGTATAATATCAGAAGGCAAAGGGAAGCGGCAACTACATTTTTATTGATAATCGATGCAGGCCAGAAAGTTGTAAGCACATGAGCAACTGTAAGCAAGCGAAGCAAAGATGATGCGTATTGGAGATGGCT